CAGTATCCTCCAGTATCCTGTCATGGGGAGGGGACTTTGGAAGGGACTGGAAGTCTTAGATGAAGGCTAAGGATCCTCGCTCCAATCAGCATCAGAGGTGTTCTCTTCTCCCTCTGAGGAGACCCTATATCGAAAGCTAAAAGTGGAAATCTGCCACACCAAGAGGTCAGGCCATGCTCCTGGGTGCTCAATAAAAATAATAGCCCGACCCTTCCCAGAGCCCCATCCCTGAAACTCCTGCCCAGGAGATGTCATTGTGGCCCACATGCAGCCCTTGAACTCCTATGCTTCTCAACCAGCTCTGCAGCCTTCCAACCCTCCACCTCTCTCTCCCCTGTTAATGTTTCTTCCCTCAGTTCGCATGAGCTGTTAGTAGGGGAAAGGGAACATAAGAAATGCACAAGAGAATGATACATCAAATTTTCTAAGTCTTGCTATACCCAAGTGTGTGACCAGAATGCAGATGACATGTGACCACTTCTGTGACACCACGAGATTCCTTTGCCCTCTACATGACTATTTTAGAGTCAGTCTCAAGACCTAAGTGTCCTCAGGCAATGGTGGCTGTCAAGGGTTGATTTGGGGTCAAGAGTGCTATTATAACCCCTTCTCCCATGAGTCTCAAGATAAGCCATGTGTAAATGCTTCATTCGTTCACAAATATGTACCGGGCATGCCATACAAGATACATCATTAAAAAGAACCCCTCAGTCCCATGGGCTGCCTGGGTGGCTCAGTCGGCTGACAGTCTGACTCTTGGTTTCAGCTCAGGTCAGGATCTCAGGGTCGTGGGATCGAGCCCCCTGTTGGGCTCCATGCCCGGCAGAGAGTCTGCTTGGGATTCTCTCTCTCCTTCTCCCTCTGCCCCTCCCTGCTAGCTCTCCCTCTCTCTCTCTCTCTCTTAGATAGATAGATAGATAGATAGATAGATAGATAGATAGATAGATAGATGATAGGTAGATAGATGATAGATAGATGATAGGTAGATAGATAGACAGATAGATAGATGATAGATAGATGATAGATGATAGATAGATAGATAGATAGATAGATAGATAGATAGATAGATAGATAAATGAAATTAAAAGGAACGCAGTCCCTGCCCTCATTTGCCCCACCATCTCCTTCCCCACAGCCTCTCAGTTTCTCACTTGGACAGACAACGTGATAACCTCACGACTTCAGCTCCCTTCTTCAGTCTCCCACTTCCTTTCCAGTCCACTCTCCATAATGCCTCAGAGAGATTTCTAAACATCTCTTTGCTTCCCTGGTCAGGTTGCTGAATAAAATTTTCAGTGTCTTACTGTTGCCTTTAAAATAAAGCCTGGGGTCACCAAGGTGACTCATTCAGTTGAGCGTCCAACTCTTGGTTTCAGCTCAGGGTCGTGAGATCAAACCCCGCATCAGGCTCCGTGCTTAGCGTGGAATCTGTTTGAGATTCTCTCCCTCTGCCTCTGCTCCTCCCCCCACTCAAACAAATAAATAAATAAAATCTTTTTTAAAAAAATAAAAATAAATAAAGCTTCAACTCCTGAGTAGCAGAATAAACTGACAGTTCCTGAAATATACCATGGTCTCAAGTCTCAGGGTCTTTGCACATACTGCTCTCTCTGCCTAGAATGCTTTTCTTCCTCCTTCACCCGGGGAATTCTTACCGATACTTCAAAACTCAGTTGAGATGTCACCACCTCCAGAAAGCTCCCCCTGACTACCAGCTCACCCATTCTGATTTAGATGACCCTCCTTTCTTTTTTTTAATTAACATATAATGTATTAATTTTTTCAGGGGTAAAATTCTGTGATTCATCAGTCTTACACAATTCACACCATAGTACATACCCTCCCCAATGTCCATCACCCAGCCACTCTATCCCTCCCACCCCCCTCCACTCCAGCAACCCTCAGTTTGTTTCCTGAGATTAAGAGTCTCTTATGGTTTGTCTCCTTCTCTGGTTTCATCTTGTTTCCTTTTTCCCTTCCCTTCCCCTGTGATCCTCTATCTTGTTTCTCAAATTCCTCATATTAGTGATATCATATGATAATTGTCTTTCTCTGACTGACTTATTTCGCTTAGCATAATACCCTCTAGTTCCATCCACATTGCTGCAGATGGCAAGATTTCTTTTTTTTGCTGGCTGCATATATATACATATATACATATGTATATATATACATTGTGTGTGTGTGTGTATATATATCTTCTTTATCCATTCATCTGTCGATGGACATCTTGGCTCTTTGCATAGTTTGGCTATTGTAGACATTGCTGCTGTAAACATTGGGGTGCACGTGCCCCTTTGGATCCCCACATTTGTATCTTTGGGGTAAATACCCAGTAGTGCAATTGCTGAGATGACCCTCCTTTCTATTCCCTTAGCACTTTGTTAATGTCCAGTCATCGCAAAGATATATTGAATAATAATTTTATTTACCCACTTTATCTCCATTTAGACTGAGAATTTGTTGTAGATAGAAACTGTACCACTTATCTCTATCTTTATCTTATCTCCCTAGTAGACACTCTAGTACATGATAGGTGCTCAGAAATCATTTGATGAATGAAGAAGCTCCAAGTCTAGGAGGAAAGACAGAAAAGTGTAACTGTAGCAAAGTGTGGTAAATACCAGAGTGGGGTGCAATGACAAATGAATACAGAGACTGGAAATGTCTGCTTGAGAAGAAGACGGGGTCTAGGAAGGAATCCCAGAGAAGAAGATGCTTGGGCTGGCCTTGAGGAAGATCAGGAGATCATCAGGCATATAGGGAAGAGAAGGCAAAGAGAACAGGAGCATATGGAAAACCCTGGATGCTTCAATAGGGCATGAAGCGTTTGGGGAGATTTCTCTTAGAAGAATGACTCTAGTGACAAAGAAAAGAAAGATATTGATGGGAGGGTGACAGGAGAATACTGGGAAACCCAATAAAGGCCTGAATTGCACTAGTTAGCAATGGGATACAAATGAGGGCAGAGACAGATGTAGAGACATTCAGGAAATGACCCTCAGCATGACCCTTAGGTTTCTGGCTTGAGTGAGTGGTACCGTAAATCAGAATTAGGCATTAAGAGGAAAAATGGCTTTGGGAGAGATGGTAAGCCCAGTCTGCTGGCCTTGAGTTGTTGTCCATTGGACCTCTAGGTGAAGATGTGTAGTAATCATGTGGATATATGAGTATGAAGCTCAGAAGAGAGTCTAGCTAAAAATGAAAACTCTAATATAACTTAATTGGAACTTTTGTTTTACTTCTGTGACTTAATACCATGCCGTGAGATTTCAGTCATGGGTGGGAACTGCTGGGAAAGCATTAATTGGTCCCATCTCTGCCACTAGCTTGGATACAGTGGCCTCCAGTAAGCTGCTCGACTTCAGGCTGTGCCCATTGCCTTATGGGAAAGGAGACCATTAAAGAGAACTGAAGAAAAATGTTGCAAACATTGCCTCTAAAACAAATCAATTTAGTCCTGTCGTTCATGATTCTTGTGTGAAATGTGGAAGTCATACCAGTGAGGCAAACTTCTTCCACTGCCCAAAATCCATACTTTCAAAGATCACTGTACACAAAGGGGAGGGGAAAGCCTTCGCCTTCATTACACTGAAGTCCTTATCCCTAGCGAGTCCTCTTTAAATAAAGAGACAGGGGCGCCTGGGTGGCTCAGTCGGTTGAGCGTCCAGCTCTGAGCTTCAGCTTAGGTCATGATCTCACGGGTTGGGGACGGAGCCCCGCGTCAGGCTCCGCTCTCAGTGCAGAGTCTGCTTGGGATTCTCTCCCTCCTCCCCCTCTGCCCCTCCCTTGCTCATTCTCTCTCCCTCTCAAATAAATAAATAAATCTTTAAAAGAAAATAAGAATGAATGAATGAATGAATGAATAAAGATGTTGCTCCCCTGCTAAAACAAACGTGTTTGTTCTTTCCCCCATTTTGAGCGTGGGGAGTGGTCTTATTTTAGTGCCATCTCGCCATTGTGTTGGCCGCTTTTTATTCCTGTTCTTGCCCCACACCCATCTTGATAATGCTCTGCGATAGTTTATTTGCAATTCTGTCTGCGTTATAGAGTTTAGGCTGAGATCTGCTTTAAGGGACCCAACTAAAATAGCATTTTTGCAAAGCAACTCATTGTGCTTTTCCTGGCTAATTTATCTTAAGTGACTTGCACTGAAATGAAACATATTTTAATTCAAAGTTTCCTGACAGTAATGGTACTGTGGGAGTTACATGATGTGTTCATGGTTGAACCTCTTTTATTCCGGATATCTATTCGCAAAGGCTAAATGGGAATCGCTTGTGGAGCCCAGGCATTTCTGACAATTCAAGAGGGATTGGTATTTAACCAAACAGTTCTGGCAATCAGGTGTGAGCATGGCAAAGATTTAACAAAGGCATTAGTCATGTGTGGAGAATGGAGGATCTCATTTTTAATTCAAAGGACTGTGATAGAAAACTCATCATCAAACTTGAATATCAACCAGCCATGTTTACAAAGAAGGCGATGTCACAATAGCACTCAGGGAAATTTAAATGATGCATGATAAAAATTCTCAGAGAAGCCCAAAAGCCAATCATCCCATCCAGCATACTGAATTAAATGCTGCACTAAGCCCAACGCTGGGACTGTATTCAATGAAAAGGCCTTAAAATATTTACTTCTTGTTTCAAAGCGAAGGTACCAGGTTTATTTGGAATTGTGGTATCAAACATATTCCCTAATTCTAAAAAAATGCTAAAAGTTTGACTAAATCCTCTGCCACACTGACTAAAAATAACATAGCACCCCAACGTTATGGTCCGATGTTTGAATTCCTGTAAAGGTAAATCAAGTCTGGTGGTCAGATTCAGGATGCCACCAGGAAGTAGCCACTTCTAAGAAGGAGCAGACCGCAACCAAATTGTTCAGATGCTCTCTGGAAACTGGTCCTCTAAAGGATGCTTTTCTAATCTGTTGGAAATGCAGTGTGAGTAGAACCAACTTTGGCTGAGTTCATGTTTCCTTAATTAACAGGTAGGAGATCAAATCATCGAAATCAATGGGGAGAGCACAAGGGACATGACACACGCCAGAGCAATAGAACTCATCAAGTCGGGAGGAAGAAGGGTCCGTCTCCTGCTGAAACGTGGGACGGGGCAGGTCCCGGAGTATGGTACGTTTCACATTTTGATTCACCTTTTATCTGTTTCTTCTGTGTACTGTAAATGCCTCTGCTTATTTGTAAAACTATACAGTTCTCCAATTCTACCTAAATATATTTAGTTATCAATAGATAGATATATATATATATATGCGTATGTACATTGAAGCACAAGATTTACATGTGTGTGAGCTCTTTCTTTTGTTCCCTTGGTTAAGTGATGTTTAAAATAGCAAATAGAGGACCTTTCAGGGCATCTCTGAGTGTGCAGGGAGATCCAGCCACCACTTATACATTAGAACTTTTGCAATTTGACTAATAGTCCTCTGTTCATTTGAGTTCACAGTAATTTATCAGTTATTTCCTAAAATCACTCATGTTCACACTGCCCTGTATGGTGTGTGACTGGGACCAGGAGAAAAGCAAGAACAAATCTTCAGGTGGGTAGATCAGAATGTAAACTTCAGTTTACGCAGTGGTTGCATTTTCTTGGTACTTAGGGATAGTCCAAAAATTCACTCGTATGCTGTATATCTCTGTGCTTTTCAGGAAGGCATGGAAGTGCATTAGATCTGCCTTCAGAAGTCTTTAATAGTATTATTTCTCAGGAGCCCACTGAGGCACCACTGACAGCTTGACTAAGAAACTTCTGGGTGGTCATTGCATGAGATGCATCAGCCCCTGAGCTGGGCTGTAATTAATCTTAAGGAATGTCAGAAAGACAGAGAGCAGTGAAGAACAGTGCTGATAACACCTGTCCATATTAGGACAATGGGGCCTAACTGTGGTCCTGAATAATAAGCTCAAATTGTTGATCTAGACTCTCACTTTCATCTCTCCATCCCCTACCCCCACACACCACACACACACACACACACACACACACATATTATAAATAACAGTTTTCCCCCTCCAATTATGCTTACCTTAATTATGGGCAACTTTCCTAAACTACCTAATAATTGACTGAACACTTCCTTAGTTAGCAGGGCAGGATAGTTCTGAGTTCATTTGAAATATCTGAATCCAAATGCCCTCAGAAACTTTGTTTTCAAGGTCTTGAAACCCCAAAAGGACTGGCGAGTACTCAACTAAGGAAAGCATTGAGAAGTTTCTGTAGGCTTGGCTCTATGCCCCAGGAAAGATTTCAACCCAGCTTCCCATCCTTCATGCTTGGATCTAATAAAATATTAATATTAGCAACAAGCACAGGCCTGATCCTATTAAATGGCACCAGCACTTATCCCTTTGTAAAGAATCTTACTCTTGGAATAGAGTAACTTTTTGCACCCCAGAGAAATAAGCAATCCAGGAAGATGAAACTGACCTGTGAGAGTTTGTCACTTCTAAAAAATACCTTATTTTAAAGGTATGCTTCATACCACAGCAAGACCTGTCATCTGAGCCAAGGAATGTCCATAGAGTTAAAATTATTCTTATGTCCTAACAAGTTAATCTTTAAAAAGTTAATCTGAACCACATGGCTACCCAGAGCTGTCTATTCTGTTATGGAATCACTGTTTGGTGCATATTTTCAGCACCTTGTCTACAGTGAGCAGTTGAAATGTTACTGTTAAAAGCAGTTAAAAGCATTACTACTGACCAACTGGCAGCATCACTCAAACTGTGATGCCTACATATGATGCTACCTTAAAGCATCTTTAAGAAAAAATAAAAACGTGTTTTTGAACAAGACCAAAATTCAAGATCATGTCAGCATGATCCCTTTAATTCTCAACGTTGCCAGAAAATACCTGGTTAAGACTGAATTCTAAAAGTGACAGAGAGTTTGTTAAATATCTGGACACAGTTTTGAGGGCCCAATTGTCAATACGGTTAACTCCAGCAGTATTACAGAGTTTCTTCTAAATCTGTTCTTTTACAATGTAACGTTAAATCGCACTTGCCAATGGTTAGAGTTTGTCAGCTACCAATGATGTTAGATTGACACAGATTTTGACTGTAAATTAACTTCAGAGAGTATGTCACAAAATATCCAATTTAATAGAGCAGAGCAATCTCCTTTAGGGAAGTAAAAGAGTAATCACAAACTAAGTAAACATTACCATCTAAGCTGAAAGATGCCTGGTTTTGCATGAGCAACCAAGAAGGTTAGGGATTAGACCAGCATCTTTTT